AAAAAAAAAAAAAAAAAAAAGAAAGATAATTTTCTTTTTTTTTATTTCTTTTTGGCCCGGCGGGCAAGTGGACCCGGGCCATTCTGGTAGCCTAGACTAAGGATAAATTTAATGGGCAACCAATGAACCTAGCTCAGTTGGTACACCCTTCAAGTGTTGAAATGCAGACCAGGTGCTGTGTTCGAACTCCAGTGGAAGCAGACGAGTGAAAACTACAATCCGGAAGCATCTAGGGAAGATCAGTGCAATGATGATATCTCAAGGCCTCGCCCTTTCTTCTGAAAAAAAGGGTAAATGGGTATCTGGGTCAGTTCAATGATGATATCTCAAGGCCGTCGCCCATTTGAAAAATAAGGGTACTGAAATGGTTATCTGATCCCTTTGGCGAATTCTTTTTTTTTTTTTTTTTTTTTTTTTGTTGTTGTTGAACAGGTCCTGGCTCCATATCCATTCTGGGGAGCATCAGCCCGGTTCCTATTCCCCCGGCAAGTCAAAATTGAATACATAATAGTTTCATTCTTCCTTCCGTCTGGCCGAAGGAACCCTGACCAGCATTGATTGCTCCTGCTAAAGAGGATTGACTGTCAGCTTGCCCAGGCCGCTTGTTCCTCTGTCTTCTATTCAGAGCCTGTCAAATAATTCCTTGCACAATGAGAACAGCGAAAGGGTCCACTATAAGCTATGTTGTTTGTCATTGTCCTTCTCTGTGTACCCTTTGAGTACTATTGTTGATCGCAGTTCCAACCCTTCTGCCAGGTAGCATGGTGGGGCCCCATAGTCATTGTGGTATAGCCTGGTGCCATTTCTTCCATCTCAATCTGTTGTCTACTATCGTAGCCCTTTGGCGAATTCTTTCTTCCTAATGTAGTAAGCTTTTGAACCCTTTCAGGCATTGAACATACAAGTGATTATGCTTCCAGTTCCAGTTGATGATGATGGATCATGGAAGTCATAGCCACTGACATTTTTCCAGTCAATGAACATTTTATGGGGTCCATGAGTGAAGCTCTCAAGACGTAAGCTGTGACTGTGTTCATGGGCAGCCTTTGACTGAGGTAAGCTTCGATTTGATTGAGCCAAAGATCAAATGTTTCCTGCAATTCCTTATTATATGGTGACTGGACGATTTGATCCGTTCAGTGCTGGAGCTAACGCGTTAAGTGTCCCGCCTGGGGCAGTCTACAAAAAATATTTAGTACTCACCATAGGGCGGATGCGAGATGGATCCCGGGGCATACCACCAGGGCTGGTAAGAGCAGTTTGTGGTATCCACCCTTCGATGGGTCCAATCTATTGGTTGGGACTCTTGGGAGCACCACCTGCTGGAAAAGGGGTTCAGCGTCCCTCAATGCACATGGTACCATTTACAGTCACACAAAGTATCAGAGAGTATCTGAGATCCGAGAGAGTATCTGAGAATAACAGCCAACCCCGCCAATTATACACAAGACTTGGCTGGCTTAAGGTGGGAGGTACAGTTCCCAGCTGGTTCGAGAAGGGATTAAAGAGTATGGTGATGGGCCCCAGGCACCAGTCTCCAGGGGGCAACCGGAGAACTGGTGCGCCAGCAATCATACCCTCAGAGTTGCATATGAGCATAGATGGTATAACATTTGTGCCTGATGTTCCCATCCAATTTGGCGTTTTGTTTTGAGTTGTTTGTCGCAGGTTTGGCCGAACAAGTGAAGAAGTTTATGCGGGAACGGACTGGTTCTACGTGCGCGGCCACATTTGGCTCGTTGTGTTGCCCGGCGTTCTCACGGTTGCAGGAGTCCTCATCGCATTTTTCCTTTTCCTGAATGCTGGATTTCGCTCTATTCATTCCCCTCAGGATCTTATCCGCTCACTCCACGGCGAGGTGGGACTCTGCTCCTCTGCACTGTTGCTGCTTGTGACGCTAAGTGGAGCTTGGTGTCATCCCCACCCAGAGAGCAGGCTCCATATCCTCTGGTTCTTCCCTCACATGCTCTTGGGTCTGGGAACCATGGGTGGGGGACTAGTGTCTATGTACCTCGGCCTCGTCAGATTTGAGGAAATTACAAACTCTAAGTCACTGGTAAGTTTCCGTCTTTTTTTTTCTTTTTTCTTTTTTTTCCTGCCTCTTATGTTATTCAATGCTCTACATCCTTTTGTCAGTTTGGAGAGGCTCAGCTGCTCAGGCTGTTGGCGATCTGTGTGTTTGACTGTCAGAGATCCAATCCCAAATCTGTGAACCTAAGTAGATCTCTTAAATTGTCTTGGAAGATGAAAGACTTGGTACTGATGACTGTGGAACAACATCCTGAGACCGATTTCCCGGTCAATGTTGAGACTGTGACTGTCAAACCTTTGAGTCCGTTTGACCACCTGATTTGTGAGAGTGCGGTGTTGGCATCTAGCCAGCCCAGAAGTGGATGTCGGAGCAGAAATTTTGAAAGAACCGGTCACACTATAACCTGTCACCTTCCTGCCGATCTTATTTCTGATAGTCCAATAGACACTTTTTCATCTCTCTCTCTCTCTCTCTCTCTCTCTCTCTCTCTCTCTCTCTCTCTCTCTCTCTCTCTNTTATTTTTTCCTGATTTGGCAAAAACAAATGAAAAAAAAAAGTGAGATCCGTTGCCACACTAGATATTCCCGACGGCAAACATTCAGAATTCAGTACCCCTGAACTGTTGAGATCCGAGCTCCGTGAGATCTGATACTGTCTCTTATACACATCTAGATGTGTATAAGAGACAGCTCTCTCTCTCTCTCTCTGTGTGTGTGTGTGTGTGCTCCTTGGGAATATTTTTTGTTGACAAACAACCCTCACGTGCTGCATGTGCTGTGGGTTGTGTCTCTTTTTCAGCCATACCTTATTGGTATGGCGACTACGACCATGTGCTTTGTTGCGGTGTACTTGTACGTGATGTGCACCCGGCAAGTCTACAATCCGAGGAAAGACAAGAGGCCCTCTAAGCTGACGCACCCACCATTGAAGCAGCTTGTTGAACTGCCAGGCAATGCACAGTGGCCACCAACAAAGATCGTCTGGCCGAAGCTTGTCAATCCACTAGCAGGCAAAACCTGGAACAAGAACGGAGCCACTGATCCAAAGCTTCTTCAAGAGATGAATGAGGGGCCGGTCATCCAGGAAATCGAGTCTGAGAGAGAAACGGGACCTCATTGGGGTAACAGTGGTGCCAATCTGAGGATCAATGAAGTTTCGGAGGATGATAGGCGCTCCATTGGCACTACCGCAACGGACAGGTCCTCGCCTCGACGGATAATCATTGGAAGGCCTTTCGTCGACGAGAATGCATGGGAGAAAGGCAAGTCCATTGCCCCGCCCCAAGACAGTCCAATAGTCAGACAAGAAACTGTCCATGGTGCTGCTCAAGACTTGCACCAGCCAAGAAGGACACCAGTAAAAGGAATTGTGATCAGAGGTTAGTTAAAAATTCGGTCAGGGAAAACTACCGGCCGCCAAAGAAAGAGGAGTTATGGGTTGCCAAAGAAAAGAGGAGTTGTGAGCGCGAACGCCACACATTAAGCGATTCAAGAAGACTGTCATGGTCTTCGAGGTGGATCATGGACAGACGGACATAATGGAGTTATTTGACTTTATGTTGAGGGGTCCAAGCGGTCTGTTTGTTACTTGCGTCCCCAGGAGTTGCTCCAGGGTAGCATTCAGGGATGTCATCCTCGTCAGTACAGAGCCAAGTCTTTGACTGTTTTTCATTTTCATCAGCTAGTAAATTTCCCAGTCAGCGGCCAGGGTTGGTGTGTATAGGTTTAACTGCAATCACTATACTGGGTGGAATCAGGGGCAGGGGCAGGGGCAGGGGCAGGGGCAGGGGGCGGTCATGTGGCAGGCTGGGGTCCCAGATCTGTAACAGGACACCATATAGACATCATCTAGTCTGGCTCAGGATTGTCAGGCGGATAGGATTATTACTTCTGATAGGCATCAACATAGTCTGGATCAGGCTGATCAGGCTGAAAGGATTATTACTTCTGAAGTTCTGAGCCTTTCCTGCGCATTCTCCCATCCTTGTCGTCAGCTTGCCACCCCCCTTGCCAATGGCCCATGGGTAAAGCTGGAGCATGGCCACATGTCTAACTTGAAGTAGTACAAGGGGCTGTCATGGGCAAGGCTTGGAGCGACCTGTAATTGCGGCCCTTTCCACTGATCACCTCTCATCAGCCAAGGAATCAAGAATTCATATTCCATTCATTTCCCTTCATCAAGCTCATTCTCAACCAACCACTGACGGATCCTCGTAAATACTATTGCTTCTCTCCCCTTCTCCCTTCTACCGTTCTCCCTGATGGTCGTTTGTCGGCGAAGGGTTGAACTTGAAGGATTCGTGTTTCAGTCATTCGCCTCTGCCGATTTCGTTCTCAAGCAAACACCGATCAAATTTTCGCAGGAATGAACATAAAGGGTTCATGTTTGAGTCAGTCCCCTCTCTCCATTTCGTTCTCAAGCAAACACCGATGAACTTCCACAAGGCTGTGCGGCTTTTTTCCCGACGTGGGCAGATCAATGGAACATTTTCTTCCGGGCAGACAGGGTCCTTCTACCCCCACAAGTTGCCAGAGTGAATAATAGTATAATACTATATATGCATGATGTCAGAGTCAGTCAGACAGGATGAGCTCTTGACTTTGTACCATGCAGTTCTGAGTCTTCGTGATCTTTCGAGTTTTTATTTCTAGGCCACCCTGCCTTGGCCTTCTCATGGAGTGGTGGGTCCTTTCCTCTGGTCCAGGAAATGAGTGATTGGTTTGTGACTCTGTAAGACGTGTACCCAGTTCTGGCAGTTCCATGTTAATGCAGAATAGACTACCAAAAGTCCATTCTGTTGCCACAAGCGGTTAACAGGGACCCCCGATCCTCAGCCCCTGACTAACGGGCCCAAAAGTGAAATTAGGGTGTGGGGGTTTCTTGGTTTGTCTCCTGTGCGAAGACAAAACAGTCTGCCAGAGGCAGGCAGAAAGGCTGTGGAGGCAAGGGATGGGAAACCTTTTATCTCTCTCTTTCTCTGTGTTGAGGGTAATATATAGGGGAGTGAATAGTACTCGGGCAGATTATTAGCAACGGTATAGGGATAAGTTCAGGAGAGTTCAATTGTTGCTAGTTGAGGAAGTTTATGGAACTTATTATTTCATTCTTGTCAAATGACATATTTTATTCACATAAATTCAATTTCGATTGCTTTATATTTCGTATGTTCAGTATATGGTTATTATTCTCTCTCTCTCTCTCTCTCTCTCTCTCTCTCTCTCTCTCTCTCTCT